TAATACTTTCACAAGTTTGGATCTAGATGTAAAACTTCCTAGATTGGCATCCTATCAAAATCACTGTGGCAATATAAAAAATCAGAACACAGACCCAGAGCAGTACTTCCGTCAAAATATATACATTCCATTTTTAGATTGTTTCGCTGCCCAACTGATTGAAAGATTTTCGAAGCACGAAGATACTCTTGCATCTCTCAATAAAGTGTTACCTAAATATTGTGTGAACGTTGATATTAATTTATGCAATTTTCGAATCTATGCAGGTGTCATTGGCATTGAAAACCTCATGGAAGAAATGGAAGTATGGGCATCAAAGTGGAACCTGCCTGAACCCCTTAGTAGACCAGATACGGCACTTTCAGCAAAGGAAGAATGTGACAGTATCTTAAACCCAAACATTTATTGCTTGCTATCAATATTGGCTACGTTGCCAATCACCACAGCAACTGCAGAAAGAACTTTTTCTACTCTTAAACGCGTAAAAACAGCAACAAGAAATGCTACTAAAGAAGAAAGGCTAACAGGGCTAACTTTATTAAGCATATTTCGGGATATTCCGGTTTGTCCTAAAAAAGTAATCGAAAAATTTTCTTCAAATCCCCGCCGCATGTCTTTGTAAACTTTGTTTACAAATTGATTATAATTATTATGTAATATTAATTGAAAAATAATTATTCTGTAAAATTTTTTAATTACTAGTTTAACTTTTTCAAACAATAGAATAAACAATATTTGTTACAATGTTTCCCCCCTACTTTACATGTCTGAAGCTGTCCTTGCTTCTTACCATATCCCCCCTCCCCACCCCGAAAAAATATCCTGGCTGCGGCCTTGTCTGCTTCCATTGCTCAATGTTCAATTCTGTGATTATTTTTTAATGTTCTCACATTGCCATTTATTTTGGCACAGTTTGGCAAATTTTTTTGATTTATCTGTTTAACATTTTATTTAATCATTGTAGAAGTTTGTTTTGATTAACCTTTAATGCATCATATTTTCCTTTAACTTTTTGTGCATCTTATTTTCTTTTCTTTAATTTTTTTCTATTTTTGAAATTCTTCTCTTAGCTGCAGTAAATTTATTTTATCACATAATCATATTCTATTACAGTAAATATAAATCATTATTACTGATATATGTTGCTGCTTTGATAGCCAGTTTTGTGCTTATCAGTAAGCATCAAAAAAGGCATTCATTGCTTGTTGTAGTCATTAATTTAATGTTTGGAATTCAATAAAGCTTATTGATTTTTATTAGTTTTACTTATAATTAAACTAACTGTTAAATTTTTATGTATATGGAAGAAAAGGTAAAATCCAAGTATAGTAAGACCTTGATTATCCGAGCTAATTGGGACCGCTAGTACCTCGGATATCGGAAATCTCGGTTAATAGAAATCATGTATTAAAACCTTAAGTTCTCACGAATTTAACTACTTTTAAAGTAAAAAACAATAGAACGTTTTTTAAATGATAAAAATAAACATATATGACTTATGTTTCACAGCTAAAGAGATTAAAAAAGGAAATCAACTCTAGTAGTAAATTTTAAAAAGTAAAATGGAATTTTTTTTAACTGTACTTAGTTAAATATCGAAAGACGCATTTTCAAAAATAACACAAATCTCAAGAAAATATTGCATTTTTAAAATTTAACATATACATTAATTTGTTAAATTTATATTCTTTTAAAAAAGTCTGTTACCTTTCGTTGCCAAAGTCCAGAATTTCTATCATGGGCTGCCCTATTGCACCAATTCTTGAGCAACAAGAGATCCATCGGTATAGCATCGTTTAAAAAAAAAAAATTAGACCTCATTATTGCCTCGGTTAACAGAAACCTCGGTTAATCGAAGCTCGGTTAATTGAGGTTCTACTGTATGTGGAAAAGACTTCAAAAATTAATTTTTAAAATTGCTGCCAACACTGAAATTATTTGATTTACAACTGCATTTTTATTTACTTTACTTAAAAAATGAGGATTAATTAAGATATTCAAGTGTGCACATTGAAAAGAAATATTTGATTATTTGAACTAATGTATTTAATTATGTTGAATCAGGGTTCATAGGTATCTGCAGGCCACATTAAGCGTATGCTTGACCCTAGGCCATTCAAATTTTTGGAGCCCTTCGATTAAGTTTTTTTTTTTTCCGTATATTTTTTATTTATTCAAATATAAAAGTATTTATATATCTTTTCATTTAAGAAAGCATATTTAAAATTAAAATAAATAATAATAAATTCAAATTTACTTTATTTTGTTAAATTAGAGCTAAAAAATAATCATAACATTTTGAAAAAATGTTAGTATATGTTTGAAATTTATTATTTTTTTTTAAAAGTCATTGTTTTCCTTAATTTTTTAAAATTTATTTTCAAAAAAATCCATTTTAAGGGGGCCCCTAATCATTGGGGACCCCAGGCCATGGCCTAAAGGGTAATCCGTCACTGAGTATCTGCTGAGGCTGTTAAAACCAGCTTGGCAATAACCCTTTTTTTGCCACAAAATTTTGGCAGAAACTCAGAAAAACGATATAGAAGTTACTGACATACAATTGATAATGCATAAAAAAAAAACATTAAAATTTTAACCAAAGTACAATTTATTTGTATTATCACCATTCAATATCAAATGTTACATTGTTTCTACTTTGCAATACTCTATACTTAACTAAAAAAAGTTGATGTTTACATTCATGATTGTTTACATCAAAGAAATTATTTACATTTTTGAGTCAGTCAATCTAGCCAATTATATTTCTTCTTATATACAGCAAAGATTACGATTTAGTTAGTATTTGCGTGATCGGATTGCTGAGGAAAAAAAAACTATTTGGAAGTAGCTTCATTCAGTTAAGAGTTAAAATGGTAATAAATTATTGAATTTTAGAAATTAATATTTAAAAAACAAAAATTAAGTTTTTATAATTACATTCCTTCATTTCATATAAAGTATTTGATAGAATACACTTTACATTTAATGTTGACAAAATAATATATTTACAAAAAATGAACTGATATGTTTGTAACAGTTACAGGAAGGCTAAAATTTCTAATACTGAGCAATTTTAACAATAATTAATTCAATTGCTTTGCTTCCTACATTGCAGTCTTGTCATTTAATAGTTTTTACATTGAATTATTATATCAAGGATAAAATGAAGTTTTTTTGTTGTTTACTTAAACGAATGTTGTTTTGTAATCGCTGAAACATTAACTTATCGGTTATAACCAGTTTCTGTCATTGGCAGGGCAAAAATCAATCCTGTGTTGTATAGAAATCACCGAACCATGTCCCACATTTTTCTATCATTTAACAGGAATGCCACATAGCTTTGACTCAGGTCAGATGATGTGTCTGAACTGGTATCTCTCTCTAAACACCACAACTAACGACAGATTTAATGTGCACTTTTCTGCTGAGATGGTTTAGTAATAATATTTGTAAAAGTAGAATTAATAGTCTATATCTACTGTCTACAATAATGTAATAATAGGAATTATTTATGTTTGACTGATATAATTTATATTTTTAGGTACATTGTGATACTATATATTATATGAAGGTTTATCAAGATTTGCATGGATAATGAGTTCTCCTGCTCCAACTTCATCGAGAAGTGTATATGGATTTGTTATGTTTTTAGGAAGTTATACTCTCTTAACTTTATATTTGGTATGGGCTTATGTTCCTATGCCATGGCTACATGCATTAGGCTTAACATATTGGCCTCAAAAGTACTGGGCAATTGCCATACCTGTATTTTTCTGTTGCTGTATTTTTGTTTTTGCTCTTTTATTATATCCCGGAGTCAATTTGATAATGACTCCAGATTTATCCTCCATTCAAACAGTTACTGATGACTTTTCTAGGAATCCAGTGTTAGCAATTCCTAATAGTATACCTCCAATTTATGATATACCTATATCTGATGTATGTCATAGCTTGTACTTGAAACGAAGATAAATCTTATTTTTTATCTATGTCCACAGATTCTGTGGGAAATGTCAGGCACTATATCTGCTATTCTAAAACAATGTACCTTTGCGAAGTAATTTTTATAATATTAGAAGAATTTTTATAATATTAAATTTACTTTCTATTAATAGTTGATAGATTGAGTCCAGCCATGTCTGTCTAAGACTTAAAAAAAAGAAGAGTGTTTATTGGCTAAACTGCGCAAACAATTGGAAAAATTTTTCGTGTAAAATTAAAATTTTAATTTAACATTAGAAAGTTAGTTCTAAATATTTTTTACTTTCAATTGCACCCAAAAAATTTATTGGATCTTGGCGATGCTTCATTAAATTTTGATAATCCTATGTTTTTATATTTTAATGTGAATCTCCAATGAGTAGTTTTTTACTCATTCAGGGTGCGTAGCGTTTGTAAAAAGTACTTAAAGGTGCTTTTTGGGAGATTTCGTTTTTAAAAGCTTTTAAAGGTGCTTTTTTCAGCTGGCGTTTTTAAAAAGTGCTTTTTTTCACGAATAATTTTTTTTCCTTCAGTGATATCTGATGAATCCCCTGCATTTCACGAAAAATGGGGTGTTTGCTACCTAATCATTCACACGGACTTCATGTCGCACCCACGTTATGACTTGCGCACACTCGAAACTGAAACCCGAGTGCTCCAATTCGGATAGAGTCAGATCCTTATTAAATGTTTTTCTTTTTAATTTATAATTTTATTCTTGTTTATTTTATTTTACTTCTAACACTTTTTTGATGTAGGGGGTAAGGATACTTTTGTTCTGAGTACAGAGTCAAGTTGAATTCACTCGGTGATGTGGGAAAGTACTGATTGTTTCGATTTACGTCCGTTTCTTTTTGTGTTTTTTTTTAATGCTAAAACTGTTCATAAAAAGGTTTTGTTTTTCAATAATATCATTGATTCAATATGAAATTTTTGAGTGCTTGGAAATTTTTGTAAAGTGCTTGAAAAGTTTTTAAAAAGTGCTTATTTTTGATTCAAAGATTTGGCTACGCACCCTGTCATTATTTTTGATCAGTTCCTTTTTTTCAAGAACTTTTTCAAGCAATAAACTAAATGGATTTTTAACTACAAATTTAGTTCCTCATTTGAGAGTTTAGGAAAGCATATCCTAAATTCATTTTCTGAAGATATAAAAGCATTTAGAATCAAGTGTGTAACTTAACTGACGATGTAACATTCGATATGGCAACTCAGTAAACAAGTGGTATTGTGTGCTAGGTGAACCTCTCTTGCAGTACAAGTATGCACTCAATAGATTTTCCCATCTTTCTTGTGAAATTAGTTTCTATGGTGCATTATTAAAAATAAGTGACATTAATATAAATAAATGGTGTGCTTTCAGATTTTGCTTCAAACTTGGGCAACTATAGAGAACTCCAGCAGACCTATAGAGACAATGGCTAAGGTTTTTTAGTGGTTTAAGGCATTTTCAGAAGGAAGAGAAGACACGCTTCATCAAACGTACTACAATTGCAAGAATGAATGGAAATGTTGACAGAATCGAGGAGTTTTCAGATAGTTGATTGACTGCTAGAATAATCGGGGAATAGTTGAATTTGTATCACATCATGTTCATTAGATTTTGAGTTATGAAATGAATTTGAACAACGAAAAAGGATCATGTTTTTGAGATCAAACGATACTGGCAAAAGTCTTGTTAACAGCAATGTCAATAAACACATTCCTGTGGTTCCTTAATCTCACCTGATTTGAGTTCTTTTAAGTTTCCCCCCTTTCTGAGATTCAAAATTCATCTCAATATCGATGTTATAGAGGGAAACACTTAAAAGGCTGTTCTAGTTTCTTGCGCTGCTGTTAGAAATCAAGTCCCGCAGTAAACTGATTGTTAAGACACGGATCATCCTCAGGGATGTTTCCCAGACTGTCGCCAATAGCTCATTGTGTAGCTCTAGTGTGATGTAAATGAACTACAACTATTAGAAATGAAAGAACTGTCTCAAACGGTTTCCTAAAGGAATTATTTTGAGGAAGACCATCTTGAATTGTAATTCTAGTTGGATGAAAAATTTATAATATCTCATTACTTAATTTACACTCATCCAACCTGAGTTGGGAGCCATGGTTATTATATTAGTATGAAACAAAAAGATGAGTCAAACAAATAAAGCTTTAAATAATGTGTAATTGAAGAAACACTAATAGGTTTAAAATATGTACTAGTATAGTCTAAGTATTAAATAGATTGTATCACTATGAAACAAAAAGACAATTCATTAGCAAAACAAATGAAATTTCAGGTAATATATTAACGGAGAAAAAATGATAGGTTCAGGTTTTAAAAAAAATTAAAACCAAATTATTCAATTTTTTTGTAAGGTTTGATTTTTAAGATGAATAAATTTCTAAATACTTGACATTTAATAAAACATTAAATACATAGGCTTGCAATACTATATTGCAGTGATTCTCAACCACTGTGCCGCGGCACTTTTGTGTGCCACCAAATTCTAAAAATGTGCCGCCAAATATTAGAAATGATACAATAAAAATTATAATGCTTTTTTTTATTGCGAGTAAAGCTTAAATTAAAGAAAAGTGTATATATATAAAATGTTATATAAATATATACACATTTTATAATTTTTCCATGCTTTAACCTTGTGAACATCTTTGTCGGCGATTGTCTTGTCTCTGACAATTTAAAAAAATGGTGAAATAAGTGGGGAATTTAATGATTATTAAAATTATTAATTAACAAAGGAAAGCAAACTAAATATTGACTTTCAAACTTAAATAAAAGCTAATCATTAAAGTAAGTTATGCAATTAAAAGTTATAAAAACAAATTAACAAAGGAAAATTAACCAAAAAATAAGCTAACAATTAATAATCAGCAAAAAAACTAGTTGACAAGAAATCACAAAAATAACAGTTAATCGCTATAGAAAACAAGCTAACAATTAATAACTAGTCAAAAAAAATTAACTGTTACTAACCAATAAAAGATTAGTCGAGAGAAATAATTAATCCCTTAATAAACGTGCTTTTGTA